CAAACCCATCAGGGCCCAGGCCAGGGAGGAGCCTGCAATCATGGTACGTGCCCTTGACCGGAATCAAATCGAACTCCGGACCTTCAGTCCTCAGGCCGACACTCTATCCACTGAGCCAAACTGGCCAGGGCAGAGGGAGGAGGATTTGGATGGGAGGACAGAGACTCGTAGCTATAGGACAAAGTCTTAGAATGTTCACACAGGTGATATGTTAGGGGAGCTACTTCCCTCAGCCTCTGCCCCACCCCCACCCCCACCCCCAGATTACGATGAGAGAAGCCACCTGCATGACTCCTTCACCCAGATGACCCTCTCCCTCCAAGAGATAGCCACCGCTCAGGGTGAGTGGGGTGGGGGCGGCAGCAGTGGGAGATGTGGGCTCGGAGCCCCCAAGAGATGGGGGCGTGTGCAGGGGGGAGGGGGTGCCCCTGGGAGGTGGCAGTGGTCTAGGAGCAGATGGCACTGGGTAGCCAGTTTCTTCTCAGGGGCATGATGGCAGCAGGTAAAGGGACAGTCCCCATAGACGGGGAGCCTGAAGCCCAGGTCGGATCAGGTAGATGTGAGTTCTGACCCGGCTGTGTGGCTCTTCTTGGGTATGAAGTTCAGGACGTGTCACTGCCTCCTTCTGTACCTCCACTTACCTACCTGTAAGGTGGGACACCTTCCCTGCCTCCCAGGACGGCTTCGGAGCTCAGAGAGAGGGAGGGGGCCCCCTGAGGAGAGGACCTCAAACAGGAGCTCTTCCTCTGGGATAGACTTACAGTCCTTATGCCAGAGACTGGAACTGTTGGGGGAAGAAGGGAGGCCCGAGCCCTGTTGTGCAACATAAACTGGCCTCCTCGGAGGTCTGGGGGCTCAGGGCTTATTCCTAACAGCTGCCATTACTTCTTGCTCCCTGCTCTTGCCCACCAGGCATTTTGACAAAGATCCCCAAAGGTGGGAAGGGACCCACCTATCCAGTGGGTGTCTGGGGGTCCAGGATGGAGGAGACTTCAGCTGCGATCCCCCCACCCCCCAAAGACCTAAAGAATCAGAGTTGGCAGAGATAGGGGGCAGAGGGGCAGGGCAGGACCCCAGGAAACGCCCTTTCTCCCCATATGGGCCATGTTGTCCCAGAAGATGTTGAAAAGAGGGGACAGTCCAGGGTGGAGGCTGGGAGGACTGGGTGGAGGCTGGGGTGGAGGAGGCTTGAGCTGGGGCGGGGGCTGTGAAGATGGAGATGAGGGGACAGGGCTGAGGGCGTCGAGGGCAGGATGGGTGAGGCTTGGGTCTGGTGGGCTGTTCCCTCCCCGGGGAGGGGAAGAGGGAGCTTAGAGGACAGTGCCTGGGGTTGGCTCTATGGGTGGGTGGTGGGTGGTGGGTCATCCCTCAGGTGGGGGGTCTAGGAAGAGAAGCAGTGGGGTAGATAGTGAGCTGGGCTAGGACATAGTGACTGCAAGGGACCCGGGGGACATCTAGGTAAATGGGTCCAGGGTGTAGCTGAAAAGTGAGGGAGACTTGAGAGTCTGTCTGTGAGCAGGGGAAGGACAGGGTCAGCTCTGGGTATAGAAGGACCCTCTGGGGCTGTGCGGAGGACCTGCTGGAGGCCGGGAGAAGCTGGTGCAATATGTTCTGCAGGGATATATTTAATGTGCCGGGAACAAAACTGAAAGTCACCTGCCCTCGGGTTGCTTCTATTGCAGGGGGTGGGGGTGAGGCAGATGGGAAATGTAATCAGTGAACTACTATAGTGTGTCAACTGGTGAACCATGCTATGGAGGAAAACAAGGGAACAGGACTGGGCCCGTGGGTTGATCATTTTAAACAGGTTGGTCAGGGCAGGTGCACATGAGAAGGTCCAGTTGAGCAAAGACCTTTGTCAGTGAGAGCCACGCAGAAAACCTGGGGGAAAAACATTCCAGGCGGAGGGAAGAGCCAGTGCAAAGGCCCTGGGGTCAGTGTGGTTGGCGTGGTATCATTGAGGGAGAAATCGAAATGAAATGAAATTAGTGAGGCAGCCAAGGGCCGCATCCTGAAGGACCTTGTAGGTCAGTAAGATTCTCAAGCCCCAGTGTACGAATTCTCAGGATCTTTTGGGGGCGTGTTAAAAGGCAGGGCCCTGGGCCCAACCCTCCGCTTCTGACCAGTAGGTCTGAGGTATGGCCCAGAAATGGACATTTCTAACAAGTTCCCTTTGAAAACACACTTTGAGAACTGCTACCTTGTACCAACTTGGGCCTTAAGAAGGAGACAGGATATGACTGGGGCCATGTGGGACAAGGACAGAAGCAAGGGTGACTGGTGGTGGCTCAGACCAATGGCAGTGGTCCAGGTGGGTCAAGATGAGTCTGAACTGAGGGAGGTGGAACATGAAGATGGAGGAGAAGGAAGGTCAAGGATTTGACCGTATGCTTAAACCTGCCCCATATATGGAGGAGGCTGTGTCTGCCAATACAAATTTATTTATGTTACTTATCCTCAAGGATAGCCTCATACCAGTCTGGTAGGATGGGGTTTTATAAACCCCTATTTCTAGATGAAGAAGTTGGGGCTCAGCTAGACAAGGAGAACGGGCCCAGGAGATAGCTGGACCAGAGTTTTCAGATCTAGCTATCTGATGTTGGGCCACTCTCCTAACCTCTCCATGCTTCCTTTTCCTCATCTCAAACTTGGGGATGGTAAGTGGATGACCCTTCTGTACCACTCACTGTGTGTCAGGCACCGTTCTAAGTGGTTACAGACAGTATCTCATGCAGTCACGAAATGGTACCTGGCACATAATTTGGGGTGGGGGGTGAGAATGCTTTTGTGTTGTACGGCATTAAATGTTCCCCAAACCCAGTGAGGTAGACACCGATATGGTCCCAATTTCATGAACGAGGAAAGTGAGGAAGGTTAAGTCACTTGGCCAAAGTCACATAGGGATGGGGGGGGGGGGGGTCACGTGATGGATATCTCAGATGTGGGTTGGGTGTGCCCATAAGCGGAAGAGCCAGGACTCTGATCCAGACCTTCGAAACACTGAAAGCTCCTCACCATAGACACCTCTTTTGGAGAGATTTCACAGCACCAATCAGCACCACCTTGTGGTTCATTTGATATGACCCCTGCCTCTCGGTCTCTGGACATTTCAACTCTATCTCCCAGGGTTTAATAGATATATGACACCCCGCCCCCATGGCTTCCTTGGTAAATCCCTCGTTCACCCTCACCATGCATCACTTGGTTTGGCCCATAGATATTTCTTGAATGACTCCTCCAGCATCCTGGCCTTTCATTCGAGCATCCCACACTGACCACATCCTCCTAATCATCCTGCCATCTCCCCAGACCACTTGCCTGCTCTGTGGCCGAGACGAGACCTCTAAGTCCTTGACTCTTCATCTTGAACCCACTTCCTGGTTTCGGTACCCCTCTCTCCAGCTTATACCCAGTGATCATCACTTCAGCCACCCTTGCCAATATCCTCATTTCACTCCCTTTCTATATGGTTTTAAGTCACAGAGGGACCCGAAATGGCTGAAGCTACGGGAAGTTTGTTTCTCCCATACCAAACAAGGCTTGAGATAGGCACTTAAGGCTAGTATAACAGCTCCATTTTCTTGGGAACCTAAGGTCCTCCCAGCTTTCTGCTTTGTCATCCTAGGGTGTACCCCTTGTCCTCATGGTCCTCTGTGACTGGTAGAGCTCCAGCCATCCAATCCAAGTTTCAAGCAGCAGGAGAGAAGATGGCACATGTTACTTAATAAGAAGACTACTTCCGGAGACTCCCACAGGGACACTTCCACTTGCATCTCAATAGCCAGAACTTAGTCATATGACCATCACTAGGTCATATGATCACAGCTAGCTGCAAGGGAGGCTGGGAAATGTAGTCTTTTAGCTGGAGGTGCTTTTCTGGCTGAAAGCATTCTGTTAACTAAAGAGTAATAGACGTTTGGAGGAAACTGGCAATTTCTATGTATTAGTTTGCTGACGCTGCTGTACCTACCGCAAACTGGGTGGCTTAAACAACAGGGATTTATTTTTTCACTATTCTGGAGGCTGGAAGTCCAAGATGTCAGTGTCGGCAGGTTGGTTTCTTCTTGAATGGTCTTGAGGCCTCTTTACTTGATGTAGTTGATTATCTCTCTCCCTGTGTTTTCACATGGCCTTCCCTCTGTGAGTCCAAATTCCCTCTTTATAAGAAGTCAGTCACATTGCATTAAGGCTCATCCTAATGGCCTCATTTTAACTTCATTAGCTCCTTAAGACTTTGTCTCCAAGTACAGTCACATCCTGAACTACCAGGGGTTAGGACGTCAACATATGGATTTGGGAGAAGCACCGTTTAGCCTAAGACACCCTCTGCATCGCTGATTTCCCAAACCAACTTCCACCACCAAAACAATCCAGCCATCCACTTTGGAAAAAATCACAGAACCTTGTAGTTTGGAAGACGATGGTTAGAACTCAAAACACCCATAAGGACAGAGAACGTGAAGGAATGAATGAATGAGAAGAAATGAATCCAGGTGGGGATTATGGAGAGGTGTCAGGTACATGCCATGGCTAAGGGCGTGGTTGCTGCTAAGCTCCAGCTAGTTGCAGCCTCGTGGAAATTCTGTGTGTTGCAGCTCTTCCAAATGTTTTAAAACATGCCAACATTTTATGTGACTTTCCCAAATCTTACACGGCAACTGGTTCATTATTTTAACACTTTCCAGGTTAAATATAACATCCAGGGGGTGGAATTGGGCCACAGGCCACCACCCGTTGTGGTCTCCACCCCAGTTGAATACTGGAGTTCTACACATGATTACTGAACACTTTTTTAAAAAAGTTATCATGTTTTATTGACTTTTAGAGAGAGGAAGGGAGAGGGATAGAGAAACATAAAAGAGAGAAGAACATCTTTGATCGACTGCTCCCTGCAAACCTCTTACTGGAGATTGAGACTGCAATCCGCGCATGTGCCCTGATGAGGAATCGAACCAGCGACCTCTTGGTTCACGGGTTGATGCTCAACCACTGAGCCACACTGGCCGGGCATTACTGAGCCACACTTTCTAAGACTCAGAGCTGGCTCCTGGGTTCTAGGAGCACAGCACTAAAGAAGGACATGTTAACTTAAGAGATAGACTTTAAATAATCATATATATAAAATAAGTAATTACAAACAGAGCTATGAATGCAATGAAGGAGGAACTAAGAGAAAAATAAGAAACTCAAATAAATTGGGTTTGTAGTCAGGGAAAACCTAAGTAAATGACACAAGGTATAACGTGAACTCTTTTTTAAAAAAAAAAATTTTTTTGTTATTGATTTCAGAGATGAAAGGAGAGGGAGAGAAAGAGAAACATCAATGATGAGAGAGAATCATTGATCAGCTGCCTCCTGCACACCCCGTACTGGGGATCGAGTCCGAAACCCCAGCACATGCCCTAACTTGGAATCGAACCTGGGACCCTTCAGTCTGCAGGTCGGACTCTATCCAATGAGCCAAACCAGATCGGGCTGACGTGAACTCTTAGGAACTCTCAAACACCTTTGTAACTCATGCCTATGTATACATGCACTGCCTATGTAAGGCATGACATGAAGGATGAAGAGGGGTAGGGGGGAGATATACTAGAAACAAGCGGCATGTGCAAAGGTCCTGAGGTGCTAGAAAATATTCCTTCCCATTTAGGAGAAGTGAAAGGTGCACAATAGGGATGGAATGGAGAGTGAAAGGAAACTAGGCCGGGCCTAGGAAGCCTTGGTGAGGAATCTGATCTTTAACCTCCCCCTTCCCCTCAACATGATAAACACAGATGATACAAGAAGGGCTTCCACCAGAGAGATGGGCAGGAGGAAGAAGGAAGGCGATTGGGAATAGACTAGGTGGGAGGAGGAAATGGTGTCTATACCAAAAACGGGTAGAGAGGGGCTGGGAAAGAGGTACAGATACCATTACGGTGAGTCCAGCTGAGCTCGCCCAACCGTGCCCAACCGTGGGGGACGGGTTGGTGGAGGAGGGGAGAGTCTGGACCACAAGGCCTCCCCCTCCATCCTCCAGGGTCCTATGAGGTTGCCTTCCCTTACGCTGCAGAGAAAATGCGGGAGGCCATTGCGCAGCTTAAAGAAGGTAAAATGGACTCCAACTCCTTCCCCCAGGTACACACACAATTTTTTTTAAAACCCAGCCTTAAAGCGGCCATTCGCCTGATGGAGCTCTGAACCGCTTGCCCTGGGTGGGACACAGGCTCTACTCCTGCAGGAACGAACCACTGGGGATCTGGCCCGCCCCTGCGATCTAAGATTCCCTCCCCAGCAAGGATCCCTTCGTGGGACGGTCCTGTCCCAGATCAGCCCCAGCCTCTGGCTTGGACCTGGCCCCGCGCGCTGTGAGAGTGGGCTACTTGCTTCAGGCCTGGCCACACCTCTAACCGGGCCCCGGAGAAGCGCCAGGGATCCGGCCCCGCCCCCTCGGTGGAATGCACCGGGGCTGGCCCCGCCTCCTCGGTGCACACAGCAGGACTGCCACCCTTAGATGGCCAGAAGCCACCGGGCCTGACCTCCGGTGCAATTCTGCAGGCCCGGCCGGGTCCCCCCGGTGGCATACAGCAGGCCTGGCCCGCCCCCTCCGAGGAATGCACCCAAGTTCAGTAACATCCCCTAGGGGAGCCCCAGCTGGGCACCCCGCTACACTCCCAGGGCGGTAACGCTTCCGCGCAGCTTAAAGAAGGTAAAATGGACTCCAACTCCTTCCCCCAGGTACACACACAATTTTATTAAAAAACCCAGCCTTAAAGCGGCCATTCGCCTGATGGAGCTCTGAACCGCTTGCCCTGGGTGGGACACAGGCTCTACTCCTGCAGGAACGAACCACTGGGGATCTGGCCCCGCCCCTGCGATCTAAGATTCCCTCCCCAGCAAGGATCCCTTCGTGGGACGGTCCTGTCCCAGATCAGCCCCAGCCTCTGGCTTGGACCTGGCCCCGCGCGCTGTGAGAGTGGGCTACTTGCTTCAGGCCTGGCCACACCTCTAACCGGGCCCCGGAGAAGCGCCAGGGATCCGGCCCCGCCCCCTCGGTGGAATGCACCGGGGCTGGCCCCGCCTCCTCGGTGCACACAGCAGGACTGCCACCCTTAGATGGCCAGAAGCCACCGGGCCTGACCTCCAGTGCAATTCTGCAGGCCCGGCCGGGTCCCCCCCGGTGGCATACAGCAGGCCTGGCCCCGTCCCTTCCGAGGAATGCACCTAAACTCGGTAACATCTCCTAGGGGAGCCCCAGCTGGGCACCCCCCTACACTCCCAGGGCGGTGACGCTTCCCCTCTCTCCGCAGTTCAGGCCTGCATCCCTCCCTGCGGTAAGCACTTCCCTCAACGCTCAGGATCGCGGGGGTAAGGGACGCGGTCAGGGCCGAAACGGGGGGGCGGGTGGGAGGGGTGTTCTAGTGGGAGCGCAGGGGTGGGCCTCCGATCCAAAGGAAGCCAAGAAGAGCCCTGGAGAAAAGCAGGCATTGCACACCGAGCTCATGAAAGGCGGGTCCGAGAGCCAAAGCAAACCAATAAAAAAAACCCAGAGGCCGGAGAATGGTGAGAACCAGCCAATGAGCGCAGAGAAGGCGGGGCCCGGGCTCCCGCTGATGGAACCCAGGGAGGCTTAAGGGCGCGGGCTGGGAAAGGCTAGTGGCGCCCAGCCAGACCCAGCGCTCCCGCCCGCAGGGGTGCATTCTCTCCCGGCGTTTCCGCTGCCGCGGGTGCTACTCCAAGGTCTGCGACCTCCCGCTGGACTGCCCAGGTGAGGAGCGCGGCCCGGGAGGGCGGGAACCGGAGGAACCCGGGAAAGGGCTGAGCTGGAGGAGGGGCGGGGTCGGTTCGAGGGAGGGGCAGAGGTGGTGACGCACGGCCTGTCTCCAGTTCAGGACGTGACGGTGAGACGGGGCGATCAGGCCATGTTCTCCTGCACCGTGAACTTCCAGCTGCCCAAGGAGGAGATCACCTATTCCTGGAAGTTCGCAGAAGGGGGTGTGAGTAGGGGCGGGGCCCGCGCGAAGGTGTTTTGGAGGCGAGTTAGGCTTCATTGAAGATGGGGAGTCAGGACTCAGGGGTGGGGTTCGGGGAGAGGGGGGAGGATCTCAGCCTTGATTCAGCCTGCGTGCAAAGGGAGGGTCCTGGCATTTAGGGGAGGAGTCGAGGCTCACGCTGCAGGACCCGGGCTGGGGGACTGACTTTTGCGTAATTAATTGTTCAGGGCGGGTGCGCAAGTTTCAGACCCCAGGGGCGGAGTCAAGATTTAGGAGGCGGGGCTCCAGGGGGCGTGGTCTAGCTCGGGGGCGCGGCTTGTAGGTGCGGGGTAGCTCCGGCGGAG